TTACCATTAAAAGTTACGGCTACTCTACACTTTTGCTTTATGCGTTTTATTACTATTTTATTGAAGCCGATGCAGCCACCTACTCGTTTGATTTTATATATATATATATATATATATATATATATATACATATACATACACGTATATATACTTCTAAAAGTCGTGTATCATGCATAGGAACGTTGACGCCTGCAAGGCTCTGGTTATATTTTCCGCTTGCAACAGACAGAGCCACTCGTACTGATCGTTGTTGTTTGCCTAGGCCGAGCTGACTTTTAGCACTGACGGACTCAAGTGGATCGACTGTGCGTCAAATTTGGCAGACGGACTGGAAGCAGTCCGGATGCCGTGCAAACTCACCCGATTGATGGGCTTGCCATGTGAGGCCTATGATGCTGGGCCTTGTTTAGTGGATCGAGGGGATCAAGTGAATCGAATATATACATAGATATGGTGCAACAGGGCGAGGGTTTGTAATCTCAGATTATTTTGTTATAAGCATGCATTAGTTCATACCAGGTTTGCAACTCATCAAACTTGCCATACTATAAATACAATGAATTATATACCAATTATAATGTTTCTTTAAAGTGAATCTCACCTTTATTGTGAAACATATCACCTAAATTTGTTAAGGCAGCTTGTTTTCTGTTTCGTCTACAGATTGATTCTGATCCAGGCGAATGACTTGGTTCTATTACAGCTGGTTTGTTTTCCATCTCCTCTTCCGTCTTTGTGGCTCGCGTCCTTCTTTGGGGTCGAGGAGGCTGTTGCTTTTTAGATGTCTTTGATTGGAAACCATTCTCATCCTGTAAGGAGGAAACCGTCAAAATAATATATTTCTATTTGAAATATTTAATTTCAGCAGGTGGTAGGTATATAAAATGTCTCTCTTATTTCTCAGTGTTTAATTCATAAATGGCATATTTTTACAACACATTATCAAGAAAATTATAACAGAACTTTAAAGTAGTACATACACTATTAACTATTGCTTTCCTCTTCCTTCCCTGCCGTTTCCATGTTTTCTTTTTCTGAAGCGGTGTGACACTTATTTCAATTCTGCTGGTGTCATCATTCATAGTGTTCTTCTTCAGTCTGAAAGCCTCTGGTTCATTTTTTTTCTCATTTAGTAAACCTCTGACACATTCCAATTTCAGACGCTTGCACTCACTTTGCTTCTTTATGGTCTCCTTTAACTCACTCACATCTTTACATTTTTCTGCAAGTAGTTCTTGAAGTCGTTGGTTTTCTTTATCCAGATTTTCAAATTTTCCATGTATTTCACATGCTTGTCTGTCTTTGTCCATTAACAATTTCTTCAACCTTTCCTTTTCTTCAGTTAACTTCTGCAACTCATTGGATTCCTCTTCGTACTTGGCATTTTCTTCATTCAGCATAGTTATCTTCTCATTCAAACTCTCCACCTCAGTTTCTTTTTCATTTAACTTTTCCTTCATCTTTTGCTTCCCTTTAATGAGGTTACTAATCTTTTTGCATATTTCTACATGGCCTTTTTCGTTAATTTCTTTCAACTTTCTCACTTTCTCTTCCAGTTCCATTTCTTTATCGGCAAATAACCTATCATTAATTTCCTTTTCTACCGTTACTTCTCTCACTTTCTTTAGAGATTCCTGTAACTGATTTTCTTTCTCAACCATCACACCCTCAATATCTTCTTTCTGTTCTCGTACCTTCCTCATCTTCTCAATCAATAGGTTTACTTCCTGTTCTTTTACTTCTTTCACCTCCTTAATCTTCTTTTGTAATTCTTCTACTTGCAGTTTTATTTCTTCTTTTGACTTCATCACTTTTTCATTTATTTCTTGAGCTTTTCTTAGTTTCTCCTCACCCATCTCTTTAATTTCTACATTCAGTTTCACTATTTTTTCCTTCTCTATGTATAAGTAATGTATGTGATCGCTGTCACTTTGCATTTTTTTCAACTTCTCCTTTAATTCTCCTACTTGCTTTCTTTGGTATTCTTCAGACTTCAGCTCTGTCTTTGTCAATTTTCCATTTAATTCCTTTACTTGCTCCAGTTCCTCTGCAAGATGTAGCTTTTCATTTTCTATTCTTCTGATTTTCTTTACAAGCTCTGTCATTTGTTTTTGTTTTTTTTCTAAGCATTTGTTTTCAACCATTATTTCATTGACTTCAAGGACACAAGTTTCGTCTCCTTTAGGTAGCAGTACAGAATTATCTATACGAAGCAAAACAAACAACCATTATAATTGAAAGTGATTTTTATGTGAAAAAAATTAAACTGGAATTAAACTACAGTTGAACTTGTCTAAGTCGAATCCAAAATGGTATAGAAAAACTGTTCGACTTTAATACATGAAATTTGACTTACAATAACCCTTCGCTGCCAGCTCTTTTCTTATTCAGTCAACCAGAGCGCCAGCTGATAACTTTACCTCTAATCCCGTGCCAGCTAATTATTTAACAAGGTCACCGTAATGCTTATTTTTCATAGTGTATATTTTTCCTTAATAATTCATAAACTATTGAGATTATTAAAATATAAATCTAAAAACAATTACAGCATTAGTTGTTTTGTACTTTCTGCATTTTATTTATCATTTGTGAATAAATGATAGGAATATTTTGTCAATAGGCCTAATCACAAATAGTATATTGGGCCTAGGCCTATTAGCAGAGTATGTGTTTTCAAAGTCAAATTACTTGCTGATGAAAATCAAAATAACGAATCCTAGGCCTACGTATGTTTAACATTACCATCACAGTCCAAGCCTAGGCCCAGAACATGGTTTTCTATGTCAGTTTCTAAGTCTCCTTATTATCCAGCAGAGCTGTAACAACTACAGAAGAATATAGTTTCTCAGAATTTCAAAACATCATATTTTCAACTTGCAAAAACTCAAAATTCTAACAAAACAACACCCAGCAAGTTTCACACCAAAATGTGCAGAAACTCATTAGTTTTCTTATCCAGTAAACACTATTTGGGTAAGTGTTAAAACAGCCGCCCTATGGTCGCTTTTTTGGAAGACCTTCCCCAATTCGCATTTATGCAAAGTGACATTGGCTGACAGTGAGCTTATTCGCATTTATGTGAAACTGGCATAAACACCACTGTGCGGTGTTCGCATTTATGCGAAGATGGCAGCGTAAGGGTTAAGGAAGCACAACATGGCATGTAAAAAAAGATTGACTTAGGCAAAGTCTACTCAGGCAAGTTCAACTGTACTTCTTAACGATTACTGTAAAGCACTGCATTATTAAATCTAAAATTTCATAAAAATACAAGTTCATCATATAGAATTCCAAACATTAGGCATAGCCTTAATTTTACCTGAGTTACAATTCTGAAAAAAAGAAAAAACTCAGCATAAAACCATGTGCCAAATATTCGCTCCCTTTCCAGGTAAATCTACAGCTTTTTAACAAATAAACATGTACAGTACCTTTGATTTGTGCTTTATAAATATTGAATAAATATTATTCTTATAACATTACCCAAGTATAAGTTGACTGATACTCTAATGTATCAGATTAGTTTTATAAAATTCACTAATTCTAAAATATAGTTTCATATACCAGTTTTGTGGGATTGCTTCAGTTGTAGCACCTCCTGTTGCATGTTCTCAATTGTTCTGTCACGGTCTTGAAGCTTTACATTAGCTGCTTCCAACATCTTGTTTCTCTCCTGATGTGCTTGCTGTAAATCTTCCAAGGCTTGCTTCTAAAAAGGTAGTAGTAGGAAGTAGTCCTAGCTAGTAAAAGTTTTATTTATTTATTGCATATTCTATTATATCAAAACAAGGAACTGAGAGCATTATGCATACCTGTCCATCCATTGTCTCGCTATCCTCTGTTATCTTCTCCTTTAATCTCTGAATCTCTTCCTTCTTGGCATGAAACTCATCATGCAGTGTCTGCTGAAGTTCAGTGACCTCTGACTGTTGTTTGAGGATTGTCTGGCGCATCTCACTGACTTGTTTTTTCAAAACCTCAGTAGATTCATCAGTTGACTTTGCATCTCCGGCCACCAACTCTTTGCTCAATTTAGCCTTCTCTTGCAAAGATGAGACCATGTTATTTAAAATCTCAATTCTTTCATCTCTTTCCTATTTGTAAGGTAATTTATAACAAATCAATATAGCATAGTGTCTTTACATAGAATTGGAAAATAATTACACCCAAATAAAGCTTATAAAATGTGAAATACCCAAAGGCACAAGAGGGATATATAAGAGTACAGTTTTTAATTAGTTATCTAATTATATGTTAATTATACAGTACCTTGACTTTCATTTTCTCTGCATGTAATAATTTACTAGAAACCCACTTGTCATCGTCATTTTCTATGCCAGCACGTTTGCAATTTTTTTTAACTGACTGCATGTACATTTCAATTCTCTTGCATTTTTCTTCTTGCATCACATACATCTGCTTGTTGATCATACTGAATACAAATTTCAAAACAGAAAATAAGAATAAAAATTACCTTACTTAATATGTCAATTCCTTGAACCACCATAGTACCACAACACTTCGCAGTTGGTTGTGATACTTGCAAATCAGTCCAAGATTTTTCACAAATAGGCCTAGTGTAAATCTATGCAGATTTTTTTCTCAATTGTTTTTAAATAGCTATACAATTTTTGCTTATTTTACAAAATTTGTTTTGACAGTATATGAATAGATTTTGGATCAAAAGAATAAAACATATCACGTATCAATTATGAAATTATTTATGCCATTTAGAATTACTTTATACTTACCTGTCTTCAGATCCAATATTAAGTTGCTGGGCCATTTCGTTGCACACTTCTTCCCTTATTTTGGATTCCATCAGTATCTGCTTCTGCCGCTCTTCAACCAATCTCTGCTTTAATAACTCAATTAAACTTAGCAGCTCCTAAAAAATAAAGCAACCACATTTGAAGATAAAATGCCTGTTTTAAACTAAATAACTTTTAAAAAATTAATTTTAATTGCCATACTTTGTTACAACTGTATTCTTAAAATTTTGAACTAGGACTTCAATTAGTAGTAGTTGCAACTTCAACTTTAATTTGTATTCAAATACAACAAAGTTGAATTTCTGATTATGACATACTACTGACTTGCAGCGTAGCTGAAGACGGCTGGCAAGCAGCAGCTATGAAGCTAACAAATTGTTTAAGATATCCAGTAATGCAGATTAATATTAATCTGTTTTTTCAACATTTAAAAACACATTTATTCATAATAGACCACCACTGACTTAATTAATTTCCTGTAATTATTAGTTAACATATAATGATGTAGAATTTGAGCAGTCACCAAAAATTTTTCCTAGCCTACAAAAAAATATATTAACCAAAGTTGAAGACATATATGTTCGAACCAGGGATCGAAATTCACGCTAGAAAACTAGCAATTTGCTAGTAGGTTTGTCATAATTGCTAGGTAAAAATTCACGTCAAACCAGCAAATTAAAAAAAATGATTGCTAGTTGGAATATCTATACAAAATATCTTGCAATTAGCCTATAGTATTAAACTAAAACTAGACTAAACTGATCTACAAAAACTAATACAAATTTTATTAAATTTATTTATTTATTTTTTAATCATGAAAATCGACTAAAAATGCCTATAATTGACAAAAAACACACACATGTTTGTTGACAGAATTCACGTGCGATGCGATCGGTAGTAAAGGCGAACATATTTAATTTGGTTCTTTTTAGATAATAAAAAATGTTTCAGATATGATAATAATAATTTACTATGAAGCCAAGACAAATAATAGGTTACAACCCAGGCTTCGATTGGCAGATGTTTTAGGCCTAGCATGGCTAGGATTAGTAGACCTCCTAACCTAGGCCTAGCCTAGGCTAGGCCTACTACTGCACCAGTGGCCGCCTACAAAATGTCTAGCCCCAGCTTTAAAAGACCAAGGCCTATCAAAATAAATATTGAACAAACAAATCTTTTATGTAAAATTGAGTTTCTGTATGGCCTTTTTCTGTCAAAGATTTGGCTTGCTACCAATGCAGTTTTTGAAATCTCTAGGCCTAGCCCCTAGCTAAGCCTGCCTAGGCTAGTCTGGCAAAAAAAAAAAAAAAAAAAAAAAAAAAAAAAA